AAAAATGCTTTCCTCCCTGGAAATGCACATTCCAGAGCCGCGCGCCCTACTCCTTCTCCACACTCATTTTCTCTTTACTCTTTCCGAAGCAGCAAAGGCTGCCTCAGAAAGAACGAGGAAGCCAAAGAACAAGGAGCCAAAGCCCGTCTCTACCAGCATGCCTGCCTCTCCCCCCCCTTCTCAGAAGAAAAGCCGCTTGCCGGTTCTGAGCGCTTGAGGGAAGCATCGGGTGGCTATTTTGAAAGGAGCAAGAGCGGTTTATGCAAGCCGCGAGATAAGTGCATTGCATTTCAGGCGGCGGCTGGTCCCAGCCCATGCTGCCACCTGAAAATCCTTTCTTCCCTGGAAATGCACATTCCAGAGCCGCCCGTCCTTCTCCTCCTTCTCCGCAGACTCATTTTCTCTTTCCGAGGCAGCAAAGGCGCAGGGGGATTCCCAGGAAGCCCAGCACCCAGCAAGCAGGGAGGAGCCCAAGCAACGGTTCGGGGTCGCAGCAGAATGAGGAACCAAAACCCGTCTCTGCCGGCATGCTTGCCTCTCCCCCCCCCTTCTCAGAAGAAGAGCCACTTGCTGGCCCTGAGTGCCCAAGGGAAGCACTGGGTGGCTATTTTGAAAGGGGCGGGAGCGGTTTATGCAAGCCGCGGTATAAGTATTGCATTTCAGGCGGTGGCTGAAACGTATTCTTGTTTTGCCTCTCCACACCCCGTTTTTGGAATTGGGGAGGCAGCGAAGTTCTCCAGGCAGCGGAGATTGCGGCAACAATGTTTTCGGGTGGCAGCAGGCATGGTAGGGGTTAAACAATGGGCCCAACCACTGGTAGTGCACACCCCACCCGATCCCCACTTCTGCGCTGCCAGCCGAGCCAGGCTCTCTGGCCATACGCCAGGGAAGGAGCTGGGCAGCTGCCCACCTACCAGCAAATGCTGCCCCATGCACCTGAGCTGGCCAGTCGCTCTTCCCTCCTCCCTGCAGCTGCAACTGCTGCTGCTGCCCTTCTGGGGCAGTGCGCAGGAAAAACACATCCCAAGCGACCCGCGTAGCTGGTGAAGCGAGCCAAGAGGGGCATCTCGGCCCGCTTTGATGATGGCCACAGGGTCATCTGAGCAGGTAGCCCACCACCAGCCATCCACCACCTTATCGGCTGCTGGTCCTCCGGTGGTCCAGACTGCCTGGGACCGCGCAACTGGCTTGCGTGGGCAGGGAGGGAGGGAATCCCTGGCTTACCTTGCTCTGCTCCCTTAGGAAGTGACCGCCGGGATTCCCTCTCTGCGTCTTTTGGCACGCGCGCCAGTTGCTGGTCTTTGAGTGCGCATGTGCACCAGAAACTAGACCAGCTGGCTGGTGCACATGCACACTCTGGAAACAGGAAGATCGTTTTCCTGGAGTGCGCATGTGGAATGGGTGGTTGCTCTTCCAATTTCCGGCACGCCCATGCGCATGAAAACCAAATGGCCGGCATACCGGAACCCGGAAGAACAACAAGTGATGGCTCCGCGTGCCCGGAGAAATGGCTCGGCGTGCCATTCCGGCACGCGTGCCATAGGTTCGCCAACACGCATATAGGGTTTCCTGCCTGAGCAGGGGGTTGGACTAGAAGACTTTCAAGGTCTCTTCCAACTCTGTTATTCTATATTCTAACTTGTATCTGAAAAAAAGTCTCCTTTATTAAAGCTACTGAAAGTCATCTGTGAATCAGGAAAGTAAGGATTGAAGAATAGTTGGGATAGATTTCAATGCATGATTTTTCAGGACGATGTTTAAGAAATGGTTTGGATTCGTAAGTCTCAAATATGCTTCATGCAAAACAATATATTTAAATGTATAATTTCAACTCAATGCAAATATCAGCCTTATAACAAAATATAAGTGGACTAAAAATGTAACACTGGTTAAGTTTTAAAAGACTACTAAAACAATGTGACTTATTAAAAAGCTGTTCACACAGACACATTCATGGAAGTGAGCAATAAATGTAATTTAGAAAGTGAAGCTTTGATTAATTCTGTACTGCTTTAGCTTATTTCTATGTTTTAGGAGCATGTGGATATGCTTATCAGAATAACTATTTTAGTGCAAGATATTTGATGGTACTTGTTCCAGCATGTTAATGCTTCTATTCTATTACCTAAACTCTATTTAGTAAATGTGTCTCACTAATGAGAAAAACCTAATCATGTATTTTAAATGAGTGGACTCAATAATTATGTTGCTTATTCTTGTAAAGCAAGTTTTGGATTTTAAAAATATCTGGACTTAATTTGTTCTGTAGCATCATTTGTATTCAGCAATTGCTTGAGTATAAAACAAGTCAAATGCTAGTTTGGGCAAGTAATGTAAGTAAAAGATGGAATAGACAAGCTTATTAAACCGGTCTGCTTCATGGAAGTAGAAGGGGAAACAAAAGATATGTGGCTGGGTAGGACTGAAAATCTTTTGGAATACCTTTGAAAAAGTTTTGAATTATAGTTGGGGACAGACTGAGATGGTCAACAGCATTTGAATACCTTGAGGGCAACTGAAATTTCTTTTTCCTGGGACCCTCAGGCAGTGGTGAAATCCAATTTTTTTTACTACCGGTTCTGTGGGCGTGACTTGGTGGGCGTGGTGTGGCTTGGTAGGTGTGGCAGGGGAAGGATACTGCAAAATCTCCATTCCCACCCTGCTCCAGGGGAAGCATACTGCAAAATCCTCATCCCCTCCCCACTCCTGGGGGAAGGATATTGCAAAATCTCCATTCCACCCCACTTTGGGGCCAGCCAGAGGTGGTATTTGCCGGTTCTCTGAACTTCTAAAAATTTCCGCTACTGGTTCTCCAGAACCTGTCAGAACCTGCTGGATTTCACCCCTACCTTCAGGAGCTCATTGTACTCCCATAAACCCTCTCCAAGGAATAGAAGTCTCTCCTGAACAATTGCGACTGCATCATGCAATACAATGTTTTGGCTTTGGTCCCCAAATGCCAATCCCTTAAAATCAAAATTAAACAGTCTATTTATCTGGACTCTCTTTAAGTATTTAGTACCTAACCTCTTCTAAGTGCATATATCCTAAAGAACAACAACAAATGCTCAAAATGATTTCAAGGACAACTATTGAAAAAGTGGCAAATAAGCAATGAAAATAAAATTATAAACGTAATATATTTGTCTTTTCACTATTATTCATCTTGCAAGGGAACAGGTAACCACTATCTTAAAAGCTGTGAAAACAGCACCTAATGGAAAAACTGTCTATGGAGATTCTCAGTCATCCAGGTCATGGTTGTCCCAAAGGTACTTTTTTATAAGGCAACTGGACTTTGTTTTTCAACAAAGTTCAGCTGCCTTTTGAAAAAGCACCTATGGAAAAACTGCTGCTGAATAAGGCTTTGTAAGAAATTAAAGAAATAGAAAATGCAGCCCATTTGATCATTCAGGGAGCTACTGTGGTGTAGTGGTTAAGGTACCAGGATAGAGACTTCTATCCAAGAGTGTAACTTCTATTTTAGGCAGAAAGCCAGCTGGTTGAGTTTAGGCCAGTCATTCTCTCTTAGCTCTAGGAAGGAAGCAATGGAAATCCACTTCTGAAATTCTTGCCAATAAAGCTGTAAGAGCTAGTGTCATAACAACACTGAAATAGATTGCTCTCAGAGAGGGTGACTATTCTACTGGTCATCCACTGAGATTTCATGAGAGAACAGAAAATGCTTTTGAGATTTGATACCTCATTTAGCTTTGGAGAGTGGATAGATGGACAGACAGACAGACAGACAGACAAACAAAACGATGCAAAGATAGGATAGGTCATTGAGCAACACATTGCTAACCTAATTAAATATATTCTAAAACCTTTTGAAGTTTGTTGTAGCCTTGTATTGTCCAACAAAACTTTCATTTGTGAGATTGGTATCAGTAGGAGTATACAGAAGCCAGTGTTTATGCTTTTTATTGACTTAAGGTATTATAGTGAGCTGTATTAATTCACAATTCAATGAAGCATAAGAATATGAAATGCACTCTCAGGATTTTTTTTGGCTTAAAAGAGAAAGTCAGTGTAAACATTCATCTCAAACATGATATTTCAAAGTTATATTGCAATATTTATTATTCAAAAGATTTAGCACATCAAAAATAGCAGCAACTCAGAATCAAAATCACCGTCTCCAAATTTCTGTGGGATATGCTTTCCATATAATTTCATGTATTATTTATTGAACATGTAAAGTTCTTTTATGGTTAGGGCTGCTTACAGTATCAGCAAAATAATGACAAAATATCATATTGTGAATATTTATTTTGTCTATAGTCCTAACAACTTTACACATTTGTTTTAATTTACATTTCTGTTAGCTTTTTATTGGTTCCTAATGCAAATGGCAAGGGGAATTCCCATTTCAGCAGTGGAAATATTTAATATTGGATGTAAGTTCAGTGACAAAACTTCCTGATAAAAATCTGCTTTCTACTCACTAAACTACTCTGACTCATAGGACTTATTAAGTATTGATTACTGCATATAATCTTTCCTAGTGCCAAATATTTCAACAGCTGATATGCTTTTGATTTATTTATCCCAATTGGCAATTAAGTAGAGAGAGTGGACTTTCACAAGTCCTTTGTAAAGGTTAAATATTATATTGCATAGGGTTTTATACTGTTCCTTATAGTGTTTGTATTCTCTAATCCTTTGTGAAGGTCAAACGTAAATTTATGTGGCCTTTACAGTATTCCTAAGTGTCCCTGTTCTACAAATCATGATGAAATATACATGGGAATTACTTTTGCTTCCAAAGAATGTTACATTTTCTATTATAGTAAGTATTCCCATTTTAATACCATTTTAATCTACAGCATTATTTATTTTATTCGATTCTCTAGTTTCCCAAGATTCCCTCTGCCCCCAACACTTGCAAAGTTAGTTAGAACAGACTAAAACAATTTAAACAAATGCATCCCCTTTTCTTCCTGGGTTCAAAATGTTATATATGGAACTAATTGTTGCCTTGTCTTTTGTGTTTTTAGCTGAATGTCATATATGCTGAACATGCCCCGTAGTCCAACATCAAGTGAAGATGAGATGGCTCAGAGCTTTTCAGATTATTCAGTGGAATCAGAATCAGACAGCTCCAAAGAAGAAACCATTTATGACACCATCAAGGCGACAGCAGAAAAGCCGAGTAGTAAAATGGAAGATGCCCAGAATAACACATTAGTGATACGGATTATAATACCAGATCTACAGCAAACTGTAAGGATAACCTTATGAAAACATCTCTTGACTAAATTTGTTCAACAGTGTGATTAGAATGTTTAATGATAAAAGACTTGTTAGTAGTTTTTCTGAAATATAAAATCAAAAAATCCATGCATAGCAATTAAAGAAAATGTGGATGGTAGCTTGTTGAATATAGGTAGTCCTTAGTTAAGAATGGCAATTGAGACTGGGAATTCTATTGCTAAGCAATGTGATCATAAAGCACAAAATTATGCGATAATGCCAACTTACAACAGCAGTTCCAATAGTTCCAGTTGTAGCCCTTGGGCAAATCCTGCACAGTTGTTAAATGTAACGTCACGTGATCACCATTTGCAACCTCCTGCTGGATTCCCTTTTGACTTTATCAGAAGCTGGCAGTAACAGTACAACTCCTAATCAGTTCTGTATTCTTTGGCTTTCCAAAATAAACTTAAGTGGTATTATTTGGTAGGGAGGTAATTAATTAAAATGGAACTTTGAAAACAACAACATGTATTTGAGCTAGACCAGGCCAGGAAATAGGGACCATAAGGAACACTAGAACTCTGTTGATATAGAGATTATATCAACAGGTTTCAAGATTCTATAATTACAGAATCTTGAAAGCTTGAGGGAAAAAAAGTTAGATTAGTTTTATGTCACCAATGATATTTTATTGTTTTGTTCATGTGATAGATACTTAAACCAAAAGTCAGAAAATAGTGTAGAAAAATATGATTCAGTTAAGTATAAATTTCCAATCACATTGACTGGGGAATAAGAGATTAAATTGTGTGCTTTTATCACCAGAAAAAGGAAACAGAATGCTAATGCATCTTTGCATGGATACCCATGCAACTATTGGTATTTAGAAATATTGGATGAATAACAAGTGAAAGTACATATAGATTGAGTTATTGCTTGGTTTGAGCTATAATCTCTGTAGTTGATGGTGACTAAAATATAAGAATTTAATAAGCCAATATTTATTTAGCACTAATTTTCATTACTGAAATGTCTGCTTAATTTGTATAGAAAAATCAAGAATAACTGGGGAAAAGTGCCTTAACATTCTGTTTCCATTTCACTTTTACTTAATTGATGTTTTGCTGAGAGACATGAAAAGAAAATTTTAATGGAAAATACTGTATTTTTCGGCATATAAGAAACACTTTTTTCCCTCCTAAAAGAGGCTGAAAACCCACTGGCCCCCACCCTTCGGCCTCCATGCGTCCTCTTCCTGGCTGCAGAGATTGCCACCAACAATGGTTTGTGTTTTTGGGCTCCGCGCGTTGCGTTTTCAGCCTCCAAACGCTCCATTTGAGAGCCCTTCAAGGCTGCAGGGATCGCCAAAGTACATCCCTGCCGATCGCCACCCAAAAACACGACATGTTTGGAGGCTGAAAACGCAATGCACGGTGCCCAAAATGGCTACTCGGAAAGCTACTGCCTTCTCTTACCCTTCCACGCTTCACCTGCTTTAGTCACTGGAGCTACCTCTGACAATCAGCTGTGCTTTTGAAGCTGTTTTTCAGCCCCAACGCAGCGTTTGCGAGCAAAGCGATCTTCCTCACTTTGCCTGCTTTTCTAATTGTTGCTCCCTCCGATGATCAGCTGTGCTTTAGAAGCTGTTTTTTAGCCCCAACTAGCTCCAACCTCAAAACCAGTGATTGAACTAATGTGCTGAAGCTGACCAGGCTAAGGATGCTAGCCAGATGAATACCTGGTAGGCAGAATTTTTTCCCCTATTTTCCTTCCCAAAAATTAAGGTGCGTCTTATACTCTGGTGCATCTTGTACTCCAAAAAATACGGTACATTCTGTTTTAGCTAAATCATATATTTTTCTATTTGTTTTATGTGAATGGAACAAATGCAAAAATAGTAGTTCACTGAAGGATCACAAGTAATTATTTCACCCAACTTAATATTTAAAATCTCTTAGAGAGATAGAAATTTTATTATTTATTGCTGAGCTATTTGATAAGAATTACTGGTGCAGAAGGTTTCCATGAGTATCAACTTCTGATGGGCAATAAATTTAGGGCACTTTTTAATATCAATTTTTCTATTTAAAAATATGCAAATACAAACTTAAAATGTACATTTCTCCAATTACGGCAATGAAGTTTTCCATTCAGAAGTTATGGGAAAATGAATTAGACAAAATATTCTGTAATTTACAAAGCAGGGTGTATTTTTTTAAAATCTCAAACTGATACTATATTAAGTTCAACTCAATTAAAAAATAAATAAATAAGCAAGCTTTGTATTAGATCCTAGATTGTAACATTTCAGGAAAATATTTCTAAAAGCCCATAAACTGTTTTCTCTAAGGATAAAGTTTAACAATAAAGATATAAATATCTGAATAACCAAACTCAGAGAGCAACAAGGACCTCACAGTTCAACCCTAAGCTACAAATGTTCTCTTCTAATTGTAGACTGCATTCATTCCATTTGTATCCACCTATTTCATTCTGGAGATTGGCTGTCTTGCTACAGCTGTGCTTGGGAGAAGCTGTCAGATTAGTGGAGAAGCAGTGGAGCAGATGAGAAAACTGACCGTCTATGCTCTTATATCCTCAATTGATAGCTTATACCAGTGATGGTTAACTTTTTTGGTTCTGAGTAGCCAAAGCATGAGTGTGTGCCCGAATGTGCATGCGCGTGCCCGAACCCCCAAAATGCAATGCGAGCATCCCCCTGTGCATGTGCACATGCCCCATGCAGGCTTGCACGTGTCCCGCGCATATGCCCTGCCCCCCACGCAGGCTTGCACGTCCCCCGTGCATGTGCCATGGCCCTGTTTTGGGGCCATGGCACATGGTTGGTGCAGGAGGCTTTCCAGGCCCAAAACGGGGCACGTGCACATGCACAGGGGGATGCTTGTATTGCATTTTGGGAGTTCAGGTGCACGCATGCGCATTCAGGCACACACGCATGCTTTGGCATTTGGGCACACATGCATGTTTGGCCTGGAAAACTGCCTGCAACAATTTGCACCCCCCCCCGTGCATGTGCCCTGCCTCCTGCACATACGTGGCAGGGACCCGAAGAGTAGCTGGCCGGTGGGAGGTGCACGCGCATGCGCGGTGGAGTGGGCTGGGACGACGGCTGGTGTGTCCACAGAGAGGGTTCTGTATGCCGCCTGTGCCATGCGTGCCATGGGTTCACCATCACGGGCTTATACAGTTAATGAAATAGCGAAAACACATTTTATTTCATTTCATCTGCATTTCATTTCATTTCATCTGCATTTTGCATTCTTATTGCAGAGGTTAAATACTAACAGTTTAACTAGGAAGGTGTACACTATTTCAAGTTCAGAACCTTCTCTAGAAAATGAGTGTTTTCCCAGATTTTGGCATAGATTTAGCATTATACATTATACATCAAGTATCATTCAATGAAGTGTACTTAATCTTTAAAAAGATGGTATGTTTTCTAAGTATATTAAAATTCAGTATGCACTGAGCAGTGAGCCCACTGGGAATTTAATAGCCACATAATTTTCCTGTCACAGTTGTTCTTCAAGCAAGACAAACAATTTGCATAGTTCTTTTTTTAATTCCCCTTTTGAATGTTAGTATATAAAATGCTCAAAATAATTTCACCCTTCTTTATTGGCATGTTCACTGATACTAGAACATCTTCCATGAATGCTAATTGACATAATTTTATCCTCCACATGGCTTGCAAACCTGTATGTTTATTTTGCATAGAAAACAAATACTTACAGTTTGTAGCTAAGAGCATTATCTTGGATAGAGCTATTACCTGTAAGTGCATTCATACTTTATTAAATAGCTTATGTATCTAAAAATGAATCAGGGTCCTCTAAAATATAAACCAAGATGAAAATAATTTTGTAAGCCAAAGTTTTTTTAGTTGTCACTTTCCTATTACGTAGAGCTCATTGAAAGGGTTTGAGGTGGAAGGACAAACCATTTATAGCCTGTTTTCTGAACCCTCGGTAGAAATGTGCTTTATGATAGAAGATTATGTAAAGTTTTTCCTTCCTCTGACAGAACTTTAGTTTGTACTTCCTGTGGATCCGATCATAATTTTCTTTATTTAAAACATGTTTAAATTTTGAACGTACTTAAAAAACTGTGATCCTTAGTGACATCTTTTTTGTTCAACAAAGTACTGTTTATTAATACAATGCAATTAAAAAAAAATTCTTGTAGAAGAATTCCCTGTTCAACTTGAGAAAATTACAGAACTATTTTCGCTTTGAGCAGTTCAGACTGATAAATGTATGATATTATAAATGCTACTTTTGTTTTTAGGGATACCTCCTGGTTAGTCTTTGAAAGGTTTAATATAGGCGTTGCTGAATAAGTAAATATATAATCCCCTGTACTGTGTATTAAGGGATGTGATGGCTCAGTGGCTAAGATGCTGAGCTTGTCAATCGAAAGGTCAGCAGTTCAGCGGTTTGAATCCCTAGTGCCGCGTAATGGGGTGAGCTCCCATTACTTGTCCCATCTAGCAGTTCGGAAGCACATAAAAAATGCAAGTAGAAAAATAGGGACCACCTTTGGTGGAAAGGTAACAGCGTTCAGTGCACCTTTGGTGTTTAGTCATGCTGGCCACATGACCATGGAGACATCTTCAGACAGCGCTGGCTCTGAAGCCCAAGAGATGTACATCTGGTATATGTTTATTTCTCTTCTGTCATGTTCTCATCATACCCTAAATAGAATAGAATATAATTCTTTATTGGCCAAGGGTAATTGGACACACAAGGAATTTGTCTTGGTGCATATGCTCTCAGTGTACATAAAAGAAAAGATACATTCATCAAGGATCATAAGGTACAACACTTAATGATAGTCATAGGGTACAAATAAGCAATCAAATCATATTAGGAAACAGTCAATATAAATCGTAAGGATACCAGCAACAAGGTTACAGTCATAAGTGGGAGGAGAAGGGTGATAGGAACGATGAGAAGATTAATAGTAGTGCAGACTTAGTAAATAGTTTGACAGTGTTGAGGGAATTATTTGTTTAGCAGAGTGATGGTTTTCAGGAAAAAACTGTTCTTGTGTCTAGTAGTTCTGGTGTGCAGTGCTCTATAGCGTCGTTTTGAGGGTAGGAGTTGAAACAGTTTATGTCCAGGATGTGAGGGGTCTGTAAATATTTTCACAGCCCTCTTTTTGACTCGTGCAGTATACAGGTCCTCAATGGAAGGTTGGTAGTAATTGTTTTTTCTGCAGTTCTAATTAACCTCTGAAGTCTATGTCTGTCTTGTTGGGTTGCAGAACCAAACCAGACAGTTATAGAGGTGCAGATGATAGACTCAATAATTTCTCTGTAGAAGTATATCAGCAGCTCCTTGGACAGTTTGAGCTTTCTTTGTTGTGCTTTTTTGATGACGTTTTGATGTTAGGTGTCCATTTTAGGTCTTGAGATATGGTAGAGAGGGTTTCTCCTAAAGTCTACCACCATAAATAATAATTAAAAAAATAATTTTAGGATTATTAACCTGAGGGGCTTTCTTGTCAAATCTTTGTTAGTAATGTTTCAGTTTTAGTTTTGTAAATAATTACCATGAAATAACTTTTCATGGTCATAGAATCTTCTAAATAGAAATTTGGGAACACTTATGCAGTTAGCCTTCCTCCCCTTGAACATAATATATGTGTCTGCCTGTAACTCTAACTTCATGGTATATTTATTTTGTTTTCGGCTTGATGTAGTTTGTGAAAAAATGCTCATTAACTTGATGCTGCCTATTGGTTAAAACTATATGTGAGCTAGCAGTTTGCTGATAGAGGCCATTAGAATTACTTTGTAGTAATTTGCCCACTTACAGTTTGGTTCCCAATTTAAATATCTTTAGTCAGTACCAAATTCACTTGATCTACTCTGGTTTTATATCCAATTGTTTCCTATTATACATCAAATATTGCTCAATGAAGGCTACTTAATTTTTAAAAAGAAGGTATATTTTCTAAGCAGTATATTAAAATTCAGCATGCACTGAGCAGTGAGCACACTGGGAATGTAATAGTCACATAATTTTCCTGTCATGGAACAATAATTTGCATAGCTTTTTTTAAAAAAATTCTGTTGCAATCTATTCCCTATGCTAAGTTTTAAGGGATACTAATTTGAGGGGTCCTTGGTGCTGTCTGAGCTTGCTTGTTTTCTTGCAGATATTTCATTACCCAAACTAGGTAACATCATCAATGCTAATGCTATTTGGGTAACAAAACATCTGCAGGAAAATAAGGAAGCTCAGGGAGTACCAAGGACCCATCATTTCAAGCCTGAACTACAAATACTCTCTTTTATTAGGATACCTATTTAGAAATATGAATCAGACATATTTTGGGATTAACATAAAATGGACAAGTTTGACCTCTTTTGGTATTGAAATTCCAAATTGTTGGATCCTCTTTGGCTTTGGATAACAGAACTAACTTCAATCCATTATATCTTTTGTGTAGTAGCACACAAAAACACCTGGCATTTGAAGCCATTTTCCCAAGGATTCAGAATTTTATTTGACTCTGAACTAAGCCTTGATTCAAATTAAGTTTATTGAAAGAGGTTTATATTTGATTTTTATTTTCATCTTCCTGATGGTATGTCCAACTGAATTCAGTTGCATTTATCTCTGTTGATATGCATAGGATTGTATCCAATAAATTGCTACACTCCTTTTATAATATCTAATAAGGTTTGTGATGTATTTAAATTCAGATTTCTTCAGCAAAGGTTAATACAATCCCATTATACTTCTTTGTCTCTAATCTAGTTGAATTAATAGCATATAGTGGAGATGACCAAAATTATATATTTGTAGTATGCGCATTAAATAATAAAATTAACTGTTTATCTGGTATAGAATTTCTGATATAGATATAGAAATTGTCATGTGTGTTCTCTTTTTTTTCTTTACAGAAGTGTATTCAATTTAATCCTGAGGCTTCAGTATGGGTTGCAAAACAACGAATTCTTTGTACATTGAATCAAAGTTTGAAAGATGTTCTCAATTATGGCCTATTCCAACCAGCAAACAATGGGAGAGATGGGAAATTTTTGGATGAAGAACGTCTTCTTATGGAATACCCACAAAATATCAACAAGGGTGTTCCATCCTTAGAGGTATTAAAAAAACAAGCTTATTTCAAGTTTAGATACTAATGAGCAGTTATAATTTTAACAATCTAGTGACTACAGACAAAGAATGAGTTTACGGTTTGTGGGTTACAATGTCTTTATGAGGTGTTGAAATCTAAAATTGCACCAGGAGAGTAAAAGGTATCTAAAAATGATGTTTAGATGATTGGCACCTACAGATTCCCTGTAAAGACTGTGTTTAGGATTTGGGGAATTTTGGGCAAAATATTTTGCCACTGTGGAAACCTTGCTGAAAGGCATAATGAATAAATAGAAAATGTAAATAAGGATCATAATAACCGTTTTAATCTAACTCCCGTCCTGGTTTCCACTAACATTTCCATTCCATTAAATCTATTCTTTCTGATAAGCCACAAACAACACAAAGAATATTTTTATTTTATTTAACTATATTTGAAAACCTTCCATCTTCCTCAGACTACAGTTTGGAAATCACTGCAATAACAATTACATGTTTAATACTCTTACAGTAATTTATTTATTTAGGAAATGTATATTGCCACCTACTCGCACATGGTGACTCCAGGTGGCTTACAGGACATAAAAGCACAATTTAAAAGAAATATAATAATAATAACAACAACAACAACAACAACAACAACAACAACAACAACAACTCCCCACCCCAGTGACAACACACATTTGTACGAGCCATTTAATGGCTCCATCTCGCTCTGGGTTCCCCAGGCCCGCTGGCAGAACCATGTCTTCAGGGCCTCCCGGAAGAATGTTAGAGTGGGGGTCAATCTAATTTTCAGAGGGATGATGTTCACTGCTATGTGATTATTAACCCCTTGGTTCAAAGGGAATATAGATATCCTCAATTTATGACTACAATTGGAACCGGAATCTTGGTCATTGAGTGAAATGGTTGTTAAGTGAGAGGTCACATGACTGCCCATATGATTGCTTTGCTTAAACCCAGAAGTCCTGGTAGGTTGTTAAGCAGATGGAGTCCCAGGTAAGAGGTGCCTTACAGGGTTGAGGACACCCTGAGAGCCTCTACTTAGGAGCTGAAAAGTATCCCTGCTGAAATTCAAGCAGAATTTTCAGCCTCTGAGCAAAGAGATACCCATAAGTGGCCTATACTGGCTTCCCCCACTGTCTGAGGTCCCTGGTCCTCCTTACCTTACTGCAGTTATTGTACATTCTTTGCTTGGATTTGCACGTATCTCTGGGAACTGGCTGAAAGAGCTGCCTGCTGAAAGAGTTCAGCTCACTTCTGTACATGAAAATGAACTCCTTTGGTGGGATGCAGAAATGGATTTAAAATCTGCAGCATTTCATCTCACCGAAGGAGTTCAGCTCCCTTTGGAAGGCAGCTCTTTCAGCCAGTCCTCAGAGACAAGAGGCAGTCCTGTTGGCAGGCAGCATCTCGCAACTTTGTCTTCTGGCTTCCCCATTGAGTTTCTGGTGAAGCCAACAGAGAAGATTGCAAATGGGAGTCACATTATTGCAGGGTCCTTGGCAATGAGTTGTAAGTGCAGACTGGTTGCCAAGCACCCAAATCACAATCATATGTCCATAGGGGTGGTAATGCAACATTTTACAATGGCTAGAAGTGTTTTGTGTGCTGTAAAGCATCTTTCTGAGGCCATCATGATTCTGGGCTGTTATTAAACAGTTGTAAGTCAAGTGCTAACTTTATTTAATTTTTGTAGATAGATATAGCTATTATAAAACTTCTAAGACCCTGAATTATTGAGTCTGTATATTCCAATTCTATTTTTATAGCTGCTTATGAAAGTAAGAGCAGAGCATAGATAATGCTTCACTGCATTATAACTATATTATAATATTCAGATTATAACTTGTACAAATGTTGTGATTTTATCTTCATCTATAAGAACACCAGAAATCTTTCTGAAAATGTTACTATTGTATCATTGAATACATGGTATTAAAGAAGATATAGTAATAAGACGAATAATTATATTTGTATAGAACTGAGGTTTATCATAGTTACAGTTAGTAATATTACTGTATGTGCGCCAATTGTTTCCCATAATTAAGTGGAAATTAGAGTGAGTTATAGAGATATGCTGGTTTTGGCCACATAAGTCTATTGGACTTTAAAATTATTTCTCATAGAGCTATTTGCTGCCTATCAATGCTACTTTTTCTTGATTGTAATCAGAAACTGAAAGAATCACTGTCTAAAGAGGAATGGAAGAATGAAATAAATGTGATCTTCAACAATCCAATCTAGTTAATTTGACTGAATAGAATAAAAACATGTTTAGACTAAAGGATTATCTGTGTGAAATTGGATGTCTGAATCTCAAGCTCCACTTCTCAATTATATTCATTTTAATAGGGATTCAGTAGGAAAAGTTTATAGACTGACTGAAAAAATGTAGTCCATTATAGCAAAAACTATAATAGGGCTTTTCAGTGATTCCTGATATATTAAAAGGATGGGGTAAATGCCTGAATAATGTTACAGAATTGTTCACTCAACTATCATCCATAATTCATTATGTTGTGCCCTTTGGCAACTATCACAAAAATTAATCTGCAAAGAAAGGGAAAAACAAATTGGGCAATGAATGGAAATGGGCAACACAAATTAATTTTGTACAGAGAAAAAGATCATGTGAGAGCCTCACCAGGTAGGCTGGGTGGGAAACATGACCAGATAAACTAATTCCACTTTAATGTAAAGCTACATTAACAGAATCTTGCAAGTATGAAAGTACAAATTGTCCTGCTCTCATCTTTATACCCTTAGGGGGGTGTTCTCCTTCTGAGCCTCTTGTGGGCTATAACTTAGATCATTTTTAAGTTTGTTTCTCTGCTCATTATTCAGTTGTGGGCTTTCCCCTGCCCCCTTTATCTGATCATTTCCTAAGTAGAAACTCTTCATCCATCTTCCAGGATAATTCCTGCATACCAGATGATACCTGCAGTAATTATTTAAAATATTTCATCTCCACTGGAATTGATGTAATTTTGGCAGATATATTTTAAAATATTTCATCTCCACTTTGTGACTACCGAACAATGCTAATTTGTAATTCCTCTGTAGCTCCTCTGTTTCCTTCTGAGCAGAAATAGACTTTCTATGGGTCACAGTATAGAAATTTCAGTTTCTAAACTAAACCAAATTTAGTTACATTTTCTGCTTATTTGGCAAACAATTTCTGGAAGCTGAAAACAAACTGAGTCAACATGCTACATGTTACTGCAGCCTTCCTTCCTTCCTGCCTTCCTCATGAGCACAAAAATCTTCCACAAAGGAATTTATAATTTGTGAAAAGATAGGAACATTTTCAATCAGATAATCAGTAAAAATATTGTACACAATTAAGCAAAGCAAAGGACCTGTTAAGCCAAAAACATAGTTAAGAAAGCTTTAGTTTGATCTAGTGAATAGATGACTTGACAAATTGTGATTACCTGACACATTACAAATTGAACCTGTGGGCTGAAGTACTAACTCTGATCATCTCTAAATGCAATCTGATTATGATTCCAGAAATAGCCTATTATTTTGCCTCTATTAACTAATGCACCAAAATTTAGAATCAGATGTAAAATGCAAGAAGAGAAGCTGTCTTCTTTGTACGTACCTGTAAGCATAGAAGATGCTGCTGTACATGGTTCCATAGAACAGCTATTACAAAGGCTAGGTCAAAGAAACTTAAATGTTTTCCTAGGTATTTTAATTTTATGATTCTTTTTATAAATCTTTTATAATTATTTGAATTTATGTTGAAAAACTGATTTATCTCTTGCATAATAGATTTTCCCCCAGAATTTTTTTCTAAAAATATAAGTAATACTAGCATATTGTTCACTTTTCAGTTTTGCTACAAGAAAAGAGTCTATAGACAATTAAATCTTGATGAAAAACAAGTAGCCAAATTCCACACTAAGGTAAGTCCAAGTTCAAACAAAAATCTTTGATGTTAATGATATAGACTTCTAGTTATTTTAAAGAGAAACAGTTAAAAACAACATATTGAATATGTTCCAAGAATCCAGAAGTTCTAACAGAACAGTTACAATATGACTTTGTGCAGACAAAATATGGATGGAAAGTAGAATACAACTTTTTAGAAATTTTCTCATTGGAATTGTGAAACATCAGAAATAAGTTTCACATACTCAACTCAGATAAAAAAGAAGTTCCAATATCTCACCTCCACATCTTCTCACATGTATGATCATGCACTATAATCCTGATTAGTAAAGTGTATAAAAGAATTTTATACACTTTACTGTATATACTGTATATAAAAGTCCAATAAAAGAATTGGAAGATATAGAAGGCCAGTGATCTCATCCATAGTACAGATTAGCTCATAAGAAGTTACCACATGTACATATATAATCCAAACAATCTTGCCAATGGGCAAGGGGCGATGAGAGCTAGTGCAAGACACATATGATGATGGGGTGATAAAACTGCCAATCAGAGCATGGTAATTGAACTGAGGAGAGGAGGATTTGGAAAACAAGAAGTAGTCACAGAAGCCTACTTTAGGAGATCCTTCAACCTATTAGAAAGATATGACTATATTTAGCATCAGGAAGGGCAAGTATTGACACTGTAGATACACTGTAATACTTAATGAACCAGTTTATACCTAAAAGTCACTGGGAGTTGGGCAGCGTATAAATTAAAATCATTATTGTTTAATTCATTATTATTATTAAATTTAATTCATTATTATAATAACCCATTTTAAATTATTTAATAGAAATGAGTTTAGGGTTAGGGTTAGAAGTGACTGATCCATCCTATATCTTTCCCCAAGCTTCACCTAGTCATGTTATCTCAAAGTCATAGAGAAATGAGAAGGGAAATTTGATGATGGCAGCAAGAGAAGCAAATCATTTAAGGTCTTCAGAGTTAATGGATAACATTTTAATTTTGAAAACCCAAAAGATGCACCCACAACAAGAAAGCTGTATGGCAGGTTCTGTGCTAATTCTTTGTTTAAAATACTGTCTTTATCTTATAAGTTGAAAATAATGTTAACAATAACGTCTGGAGCAAAGTGTAATAATGCACATGGTAACATCATTGCACAAATACTGCTGTTACAAAGTTTAATTAGGACATATGACAATGTAAATTGCAACTTTGGTGTGATAGTGATATTCCTTTGCACAGAGTCATAAAAGGCAAGAGTCACAGCGGTTGATTGAAGCCTCACCTCTTTCGACATGTGTGCAATGTGAATCAATTCTCCTGCGGACATTAGTACACATGAATATTAATCTATGACCATGGAATATTTCAATTAGATATGATATTGCTGTAGCAGTCAAGTACCCAGCAATGATCTAGAATTCAAACAAAATATTTAGCAGGGTAACAATGAGGAATATTTATGCAAATTAGGGAAATAAAATGTAGTGTAACTAACCCAATGTGCATTGATTAGTTTATTATTTGCAAATTATCCTAATCTCTGTTGGGCCTCCAAGCCATGGAAATTTTACACACTTGTTTTTAGCAATGACAAAAGGATCTTGCTTCTAATTCTGCAAGTAGCATGTAGCCATTACAACTGATAATCATTAATAATTTTATCCCTTATAATTTGGTCAATTGTAATTAACTCATGCATTTGTTAGATTGCATGTTAAGTCTAATCTTTCTGGAATGTCTTGTAAGACTTAAAATATACCCTACCTGAAATTTATAACTAATCTCTATTGTAAATCAGGAAAGCCTTTTATGTCTATGCATTTACAACATTTCAATAATACATAAATTCAAGAGTGCATAAATTTCATGTATGAAATATACTCTTTTGAGAGTTTTCCCTGAACTCATATTTCAGAGGTAAATAAGTAGTACATAAGAAGATATATTGAATATGGACAATTTCATCAAATTTATGTATGATTTTGTATCTAAAAATCTATCATTTTTTCCTCTAAGTGAAATGCTTATCCTACAATAAATATTTTTCAAATTAATACTTTCAGGCTAATTTTCGAAAATTTATGGACCTTGTTCATCACCGTTCAATTGAAAAACTAATAAAGATGCTAGACCGAGGACTTGATCCTAACTATCATGACTTAGAAAGTGGAGGTATGAATTAAACCAAGCTGTTATTAAGAGATTTATTTAATTAAAAATAAAAAATGTTAAATGCATAAACTGTTGAAAATGCAAAACAAAACGCTATTAGTTGACTTCTAGACAGTTTGTTTTCGTTCTTGTCTACTCTAGAAACCCCACTAACTCTGGCAGCTCAATTTAGCAATACTGCAGAAGTAATCAAAGCACTGAAAAATGGAGGAGCTCATTTAGATTTTAGAGCCAAAGATGGAATGACAGCATTACATAAAGCAGCTAGAGCCAAGAATCAACTGACCCTGAAGGTAAATTGAACAAGGCATATTGTTTAATAAAAGAAATAGAAGTAAAAAGTTCTGCACTAATTTCCAGTGTGCTTAATGGGTTTTTAAATCTAGATTTGCTCAAAGGTTTCTATCTTTGGCTTTTGGCTTTCAAGGCTTATTTTCAAAGAAGAATTCATTTGGTAAAAAGAAAAAGGATGTGGAAACTTTATTTCATTAATTGTCATACAGTGTAATATTTGTCTTTAGGAAAATGGAATACAGGTAGTCCTTGACTTACGACCACAACTGAGCCCAAGATTTCTGTAGCTAAGTCAATCATTTGTTAAGTGAGTTTGCCCTATTTTACGACCTTTTTTTGTCACAATTGCTAAGTGAATCACTGCGATTGTTAAATTAGTAAAACAGTTGTTAAGTGAATTTGGCTTCCTCATTGATTTTGCTTGCCAGAAGGTTACAATAATGATAGAATAGAATAACAGTCGGAAGGGCCTTAGAGGTCTTCTAGTCCAATCCCCTGCTCAGGCAGGAAATACTATATCATTTCAGACAAATGGTTGTCCAATCTATTCTTAAAAAAATTCCAGTGTTGGAGCATTTACAATTTCTGGAGGCAAGTTGTTCTACTCGTTAATTATTCTATCAGGAAATTTCTTCTTAGTTCTTGGTTTCTTCTCTCCTTGATTAGTTTCCACCTATTGCTTCTTGTCCTGCCCTCAGGTGCTTGGGAGAATAGCTTTTGACTCCCTCTTCTTTGTGGCAACCCCTGAGATGTTGGAACACTGCTATCATGTCTCCCCTAGTCCTTCTTGTCATTAAACTAGACATACCCAGTTCTAGCAACCGTTCTTCATATGTTTTAGCCTCCAGTCCCCTAATCATCTTTGTTGCTTTTCTCTGCACTCTTTCTAGAGTCTCCACATCTTTTTACATCATGGTGACCAAAACTGAATGCAGTATTCCAAGTGTGGCCTTACCAAGGCATTATAAAGTGGTAGAAAGTGATCACATGACACTTGTCAGTGCAACTGTCATAAATATGACTCAGTTGCCAAGCATCTGAATTTTGATCATGTGACGATGGGGAATGCGGCAATGGTCATAAGTGTGAAAAATGGTCATAAGTCACTTTTTTCAGTGCCATTGTAATTTTTTTCTTGAAATTTTTATTTCTCATAAAGATGTCTTAAATGTACAGTCTATTATCCATTGTTAATCATACATATTCTCTTTTAACATATATATTAGTTCATTCTTCATCCTAAAAAATTTAAGTATACTCGGGGTTGCTCTTCTACCATTCCATCTCCCTTATTTTACAACAATCCTTCTTCTCCTCTCTTTCCCTTCCCTCCCTTCTTTTATCATCTTCTACTTTCTTCTTTCCTCCTCTCCTTCCTCTTCTCTACTTCCCCTTCCTTTCCCCCACTCCTCCCTTCTTCTTCCCTGTGCCATTGTAATTTCGAACAGTCACTAAATGAACTGTTGTAAGCCGAGGACTACCTGTAGTTCAAAAGTTATTAATCAAGGCGCTTTCAACCAAATTATGTTTCTTCTGCTGGTTCTCACTAATCACTAATTTTGCTTCGTAAATTTGAAAGCACACAGATTACACTTGTAATACAAGCACAGATTCTAGATTCAGTCTCCTGAATTATTAGGAATTGCAATATTAATCCTATAAATTTCACTGTAGTACAGAAGGTGAGAAAATAAATGCATGATTTATCCCTTTTGTCTTTATTGTAAATTTGGAAAACAAACTTTCTACGTAAAATATATTTCCTAGCAACATCCCCACATTGGAGGAGTGGGGGGGGGGGGAATGAAGGAGAATTGGTCTAATAAAAACAAGAGTTCTGATGGCATGATTCAAGCCTCTTCCTTTTCTATGTATTTCATTATGTCTCTTGACTTTCAAAAAGAGACCGTGTTTGCATTCAAGATTCTGCAGACATTACTGGGATTTACTGTTGTAGTCTGATCTTTTAATCCTAAAGACTAGCTAGTATAAATTAAACCTACCTCTAGGTTTAATGCAATGTATTTCCAAGTAAATAGTCATGCCATACTACTCATACTTTTGTGTATGTAACAGTTTACTTTTTCTTAGTGTAATGCATGAATCCAGCAAATTATGGTTTGCAAACCATAATCTATGGATTAGTATTATTTATAAAGCCATTGTTCCGTTTAGTCAACAAGTAATTGCTTAACCAAAAGAAAACAAACAATGTAGTTATATGGTTCACTATATTCTCTAAGGGCTGTTCCTCAAATAAGAATTCATTGGACTGCATGATCAGTTTACCGCTATACTGAAAAGGATAAAATATAGAAATAACAATCAATTCACCTTCAGAATTTTGTTACAATTTAAAATTACTTTGCAGACTCTTTTAGATCTTGGAGCATCTCCAAACTACAAAGATAGCTGTGGGTTGACACCACTGTATCACACTGCTGTAGTAGGAGGAGACCCATCTTGCTGTGAGTTGCTACTACATGAACATGCTACGGTTGGTTGTAGAGACGAAAATGGATGGCAGGAAATCCACCAGGTAGAAAAGAATACACTAAGATAATTATCAATTTTGCTGAGATAGTTTTACCTTTTGCTCAAATATTTGGTAATTGTGTAATCCATTCTGAAATCAGTTGCACGGAATTCTCCAAATCCATTGTACTTAAAAAAATTGCTTCATAAAAATGACTTTAAACAAAACTGTTCTTTACTAAAATCACACAACAATTTGAAACATATTTTTATTGCTATGCATAATATATATACAGAGACTGTGAGTTCTAGTTCTGCCATGAAAGCCCTCTGATTGATTGATTGATTGGTTCGATTTATATGCTGCCCTTCTCCAGAGACTCAGGGCGGCTTACAATGCGTTAAGCAATAGCCTTCATACTTTTGTATATACCTGCTTAGTAGGGCTTTCGGCCCCCTCTAAGCGGTGTTCTTTTTTATACAAAGTCAGCTTATTGCCCCCACAAACCAGGTCCTCATTTTACCTACCTCGAAAGGAAGGAAGGCTGAGTCAACCTTGAGCCTGGTGAGATTTGAACTTGCAGTAATTGCAGGCAGCTGGCAACTAAATGCTACTTTAACAGCACTTAGTCCACTGTGCCACAAAGGCTCTGGTTAATGACCTTGGACCAGTCACTCTCTCTCAGCACAACTTCTCCCAGAGGGTGGTTGTTGTGAAGAAAATAGAAGGAGGGAGGCTGTGTTCACCACCATGAATCCTAGATAAAAATAATGAAGATGGAATACAATACAATACAATACAGTACAGTACTGTATTGTACAGTACAATACAATACAATAAAGTACAATGCAATGCAATGGAATACAATACAGATAATATACTGGATATTTGTATGCTAACATACTGTTCTATTGCCTATTCACTCTTGCACAGAAATTATTTACTTGTGTATTCATTTTTATTAAAGCATCAGGTTTTTGATGATTTTTAGCTGTCTCAGTGAAAATATTCATGATGTTACACTGTTGGTCCTTTCTGTGTCCTTTGCTCAGTTCAACTTTATTTTGAGCAGACAATTTATTTGTTTTGTTTTAGTAATTTTTTTAGCTGTGTCTGATGTTTCTCTAAATAGCTACTTTATGTTTCTTGATAATACATGTTAATTTTGTTAACAAAATGAAAAAGTTATTTATTGTATTGGTAAAAAGATAATGATGTAGGTACATTTTTACTTCTCCTTGAATGAAAGTTTTCATAGAGTGATTCAGTTCCATAGTTCCAGTTGTTGAAAAGAGGGTCTTTAACTATTAGAATTGAATCTGCTTTAATTTTATAGCAAGTGCATGTATCTCTTTTAGAACAATCATTCTAAAGTTCTATCATTCTCAGTGGTTATAGTGCCCTCTTGAGCTGATCGATAGAATTAACTTCATTAGGCAATGCTGAACTTTCTCATTTAGCATATAATATCAGTAGTTCTGAGAATTTCTGAGAAGCTAAGCCGTAAGTGTGCTCATAAAACGGACTCTCCCATGTTTAACTTAATTATGGTTTAGTTAACAGAGTTAAGGTTAGGGCTAATAAGTGATTAAAAATCTGAGATAAATAAACTTCTCTCCAACTGAAAAACCAGGATAAATATCTTTAAATATGGGGAAGAAGAGCCGATTTTTTTTAAAAAAATCTAGAGTTATTATTAAATTATCTAGATAAAATTCTTTTAGAGTTATATCTTGAATTAAAAGATCACAGATTTACATATACTGTAATTTCCCCCTTAGGAAAGTGCTACACTTCAAAGACACCTTTATGTATTTCACTCATTTCTTGTCTGTCTTGTATAAAGCATGTATAGATTTTGCTTTCATTTCCAGTAAGCCTTTGTTGACTGTCATATATTTAGTCATAATTTTCTAATAAAACAATTTTGTGTACAGGTAATCCTTGACTTACGACCACAATTGAGCCCAAAATTTATGCTGCCAAGTGAAAAATGTATTAAGTGAGCTTTGCCCCATTTTACAATTTTTCTTGCCCCATTTGTTAAGTGAATAATTGCAGTTGTTAAATTAATAATATGATTGTTAAGTGAATCTGGTTTCCCCATTGACTTTGTTTGCCAGAAGGTTGCAAAAAGTGGTCACATGACCTCAGGAGACTGCAACTGTCATAAATATGAACCAGTTGTCAAGCATCTAAATATAAATCAGATGACCATGGGGATGCTGCAACGGTCATAAATGTGAAAAATGGTCATAAGTAACTTTTTTCAGTGCCGTTGTAACTTTGAACAGTCACTAAATGAACTGTTGTAACTTGAGGACTACCTATATTCCGTATTTCCCTGTTTGCATTAAGAACAATCACAACAATTCAGCCTTAGTGCTTTTAGCTATACATATAGTCCTCAAATTGCAACCACAATTGAGAGCAGAATTTTGGTTGCTCAACAAGTGGAACACGTCCAATTTTACAATATTTTTTGCCATAGTTGTTAAGTGAATCACTGCACTTATTAAGGGAATCTGGCTTCCCCATTGACTTTTCTTGTCAGAAGCTGCCTATGAAGGTAGCCAATGTCAATCACATGACACTGGGATGCTGCAGCTGTCGTAACTACATACCAGTTGCCAAGTGCCCAAATTTTCATCAGGTAACCATGGGGATGCTGCAACAGTTGTAAATGTGAGGACTATTTATAAATCACTTTTTGAGGTACTGTTGTTGACTTTGAATGGTCACTAAAAGAATGGATGTAAATGGAGGGCTATCTATAATCAGAGACAGATCAGGTTGGTTTACATATAACTACGATTTAACATGGACAATGTAATTACTTAACTGGGGTAAAAGCAACCTTTTTCAACCTGATGGCTTTCCTGATCTGAATGCAACTTTAAGATTTCCAAGCTAGCATTGGGAGGACATACTTACGAATAGACAGGGAATATTGATGTAATACAACCATGTTTTTTTTTTCCCTACTAATTGTGCAGGATGTGATATGTCTTCTTCTGATGAAGAGGCCATCTGTTCCAAGCTGGGTTTTTTTCAGTCATTTAAGACACAGGCAAATGTTAGATATACAGATATAGACATAAACATATACATACACACGCGCACACAGGACCATTTTTTCAGCTTTTAAAAGAATTGTTTTGTTAGGATGATGGTATGTGGGTGCTGCAAATCATAGTTTTGTGCATTTCATAGATTGCCTACTTCATAATTTTATTATCCATGGGTTTTCATTATTTTGCTGCTATGGAAAGTTCTGTTCTATGGTTCAAAAGTTCATTACACAAGTAAAAATAAAATAGAAGCTTTCTGTTTATAGGTGACTCTTTTTTTTTTTTTTACAATATACACTGCAGGACAAACAAGCAGAAAACTAATAAAGTGAACACCACTTAGCAGTTAGAAGACATGATGGAAATTCCTTAATTTCATAAAGCAAGTTCCAATTGAATCATAGTTTCAACTGGGAAACTGTGGGCATCCTAGACCAAGTTAAATTCCAAAATGCTAAGGAATTCCCAGAAGGTTGGCATAATCAGTCATCAATAGAAACATAGAGATAAACCACATTAACCAATCTTTAAAGAGAGAGAATAAAAAAAAGCTAGAAGAAAAAAAAAAGATTAGTACAATCCTCTCCAGCAGCCACCACCCAGATAAGCAGGGATTAACATCAGACAAACAATCAAGCAGTCAACAATACCCTAACCAAAGAAAAAACAAAGAAAAGACAACATCCCCACCAGCATTGGCAGGGCAAGCTACTGTATACACTATACAGGGAGCAACCCCCACACTCACTATCACTATTGATCTTACCTAGTGAGGTAATAAAATGCATGCATGCAAATACGAAGCTCAGAGAGTTCAAACCTCACCCAAACACACACACACACACACACACACACACACACACACACACACACACAGAGTAATAAATACATTCTATATACAGACCTACCCATGTGATTTATATCATAAAGTTATCTTCACTAGTTACAATTGTGGCCTTGCTATGTGTGTAAGTTTTCTGTATATTAAAATGTATAAATAAGTACTTGTCTTGACTTTGAGATAATAGAACAGTGACTCATAAAGTGTTTTTAATTGGTTTTAGATAATTCTCAACAAATGTTTAATCACATCTCAGAAACATCATATTTAGTGCCATTCAGTGGCCTTTTTATATTATTTTGAGGCTTATGAGTAGATAATTTCAGAATGTTCTTTGTTGTACTTGATGCTATTCTAAATCTCTCCTCCTCCTCCTCCTCCTCCTCCTCCTCCTCCTCCTCCTCCTACTACTACTACCCTGTTTGCCCGAAAATAAGACATCCCCTGATAATAAGCTTAATCGGACTTTTGAGCGCATGAGTATAATAAGCCTCCCCACGAAAATAAGTCCTTCCCAAAAATATTTAAACTCAGAACTGGAAATCAGGTAAAATGGCAAGAGGAGCTCCATGTGCCCCAAAATAATAAGATCTCACCAAAAATAAGGCCAAACGCTTATTTTGAGGTTCAAAAAAATATAAGACAGGGTCTTATTTTGGGGGAAACACGGTACTACTATCATCTATGGACATTTTTATTATTAGCTATCCATTTTATTGGGGTGTTAATAGAGGAGGACCATATTATGACAGTTATTTCTAACGAGAGGAACTGAGAAGTTAAATTCTTTATACCTTTTTTTTCTGTTTTGTAAAGTGTTTACAGGCTAGTAATAAGAGTATAAATCTCTAATTAAAATATTGCTTAAATGTTTCACCATCCAGTGTTCTAATACTTTTGAAAATGGACCCACTAGAGTCACTCTTAAAAAATAGTTGCGGACAGTCACTTTATTAATTAAATAGTTGGTATAGTTACACATTTCATCTGTCTCAAGCAGACACAGCAACCTTATCAGTTGTTATGTACTGAATTATATGCAAGTTTAAAAACAACATTTTTACTTCTAAAAAAGTTTTTAAATTATTTTAAAATAAATCTTAAAAATAATTAAATGGTTGAATCTCACAAGTTTGCACACATAGAATGGTTGTGAGAATTTGGCCATTAAAAAACCAAGCTAGTCAGTTGTTTGCTTGTGTCAGTATTCACCATCTATAACTTGTGCATATAATACTCAAAGCTTTAAAATTTTAGGGATATAAATGACATTTTACATTACAATTGACTTACATTTAATTAAAATATGAGTACTTTATTTTATAGGCTTGTCGTTATGGGCATGTCCAGCATTTAGAACATTTTCTATTTTATGGAGCAGATATGGGAGCTCAGAATGCATCTGGAAACACAGCATTGCATATCTGTGCACTTTACAATCAGGTTAGTTATTACAGCTTTGCTGTTGAGAAATATTCTTTTATGAATAAATAAATATAAAAATAAATACATATTCTGTTATGCATGGGTACTATGGTTTTCATTCATGTGGGAATGAAAATTCAAGTTACTGTTTCCATACATAATGCTTAGTTTTTTTCAGCCAAGCAATTATAGGTAATCCTCAATTTACAACCACAATTGAGCCCCAAATTTCTGTGGCTAAGAGAGACAGTTGTTAAATGACAGTTGTTTGCCCCATTTATGGCCTTTGTTGCCAGAGTTGTTAAGTGGATCAGTTCAGTTGTTAAGTTAGTAACATGACTGTTAATTGAATCTGTCTTCCCCATTGACTTTGTTTGTTAGTAGGTCACAAAAGGTGATCATATGACCCCAGGACACTGCAACCATCATAAATATGAGTCAATTAAATTTTGATCATGTGACTGGGGATGCTGCAACAGTTGTGTGAAAAATGGTTGTAAGTTACTTTTTTCAGTGTTGTTTTAATGTCACTAAATGAACTGTTGTAAGTTGAGGACTACCTGTAGTTTCTCCTGCTAATGTATATAATTCACTGTTTACATAACAATAGTATGTATTAAATGTTGCACGAGTCAATGTTTTATGTATGGATATAGAAACTTACTATGATCTAGTTGTTTCAAGTCTGGAAATTTCCAAATAGAAAACTATTATATTATCTGTTTCTTACAGTAGATCCATATGATCAGAAAATAAATGAGGTGTTCACATGTTTTACAGAATAAGCCAGTTGGTGTAATAATGTTTGTATGTCAGTTCCAAAGCAGTAATAGTAAAAAGATTCATACAAAGTTTTAGAAGGTGACTACCTTAGAGCACGGATGTCAAACTCGCAGTGTCACGTTGCCGTCACGTGATGTTTCACAATAGTTTTTCCCTTCGTGGAGCTGGGCGGGGCGTGGCCTGCGTGTGATGCATCTGGCCAGTTTAATACCCCGCCTTAGGGAGTCAGCTATCAAAAACTTTAAAATATATGCTATAATGCATCTATTTGGGATGTCTTCAGTATATTTTATTCTTTGGAATAGTGCCAGGTGTTTGGATATTCCTGCATTTACTGTAGCAAGATCAAGTTAAAGCAGTAGTTAATGATTTTATGGCTAGTTAACAATTTTGCATCTTCTTAAAATGTCAAAATGGGAGTAGTGAAGAGATGAAGCTATGATTTGGGTGCTGAAAAACAATAAAGAGAAAATATTAAAATAATAACTGAGGTGTTTAATGGTTTAACATGACTAAATTTTTTTCATACAAACAGCTGGAGACAAGAAGAAGCAGAAGTTAATTATTTGCCCTGGTCATTTTACCCATCAAAAGGAAGCAATTTATTAATTAGTTGATATCTATATATATAAAAGTGAAAACCACTCAAGCCGTAATCACGAAATCTCCAGAACCATAAAGCCTTCAAACTTGAAATTTGCCATGTATGTTCCTCTTGGCTTCTAGGTGCTCACTAAGAAAGGATTTTTCGAAATGACCATCAGAGCATTAGTATTTACTATATTATTATTAACATGCTCTGATGCTAAGGAATTCTACTCCCCTCCCACCTTAAAAGAAATCTGTTCCAAATGCAAAACGCAAGCAGAGGAGAGGAGTTTCACTTTCAGTTTTACTTTCACAGCAGGAAGCAGGTTTAATGCAGAACACTTGAGCTAAGCCACGCTCAGCCTCCTTCCTGTCTCCTCCTTGCTCATACAGCAAAATCTATTTGAGTTTCCAAACACCCCTCAACTCTCTCACACATTGACAGGATGCTAGCGGGCTGGGACATTCTACTCCCCCTCACCCTCTGTTCCAACTGCCAGTTACATTATATTAACATACTCTACATTAAGTTTCAGGCTGTAAGTGTCAATTTATCAAGTTCAAGCACATAGTTTTGTAGTGAAGCACGGGCGTCCAGCTAGTATAACCAAAGAGAAAAATGCAAAAAGACACATATCATGGGTAAAAAAGTAGCATAACCAACAAAGCATTCTCTGCTTCAGTCCTATATTTGAGGATAGAAGTTGGAAGATAAAGTATATTTCATTTTAATGTATGCATATGTGTACATTCAAAGTGACAAAGTTATTCTATGTTTCAGTTTAATTTAATTTTTACTACATTATACATCCTCAAATATGGGTCTAGGACAACTTGCCATGGCTAACTCACTGCAACCAACTCACTACAAGACAACTTGCCATGGTCCACTCACCATGGGATAGAACAAGAGTTACACTACGTGGGGCTCCCCTTGAGGAGCACCCGGAGGCTCCAACTGGCGCAGAGTGCGGCCACGTGGGTGGTTATGGGAGCGACATGGCGTTCCCATGTAACACCTCCTGCGCGAGCTGCACTGGCTCCCGGTGGTCTTCCATGTGCGCTTCAAGGTCTTGGTTACAACCTTTAGAGCGCTCCATGGTTTAGGACCTGGTTATCTACGGAACCGCCTGCTGCCACCAGTAGCCTCCCACCGGCCGGTACGCTCTCATAGAGAGGGGCTTCTCCGGGTGCCGTCGGCCAAACAATGTCGACTGGCGGCTCCCAGAGGGAGAGCCTTCTCTGTGGGGGCACCTACTATCTGGAATGAGCTCCCCCCGGAGATACGGAGGCTTCCGGATCTACGCACCTTCCGCCGCGCTCTCAAGACTCTTTTATTCCATCAGGCTGGGCTGGCCTAATTTTTCCCTTTTTCCCTTTTTAAAACACAAATTTTAATTCGTTCTTAATTTATTGGGGTGTTTTAAATCTGTCTTCAGCCAAATTGTTTAATTCGGTTTTATTCTGTTTTTAAATTTTGTATTTATGTGTTTTTATCTTGTGGCTGTTCACTGCCCTGAATCCTTTGGGAGTAGGGTGGTATATAAATCAAATAAACTAAACTAATCTAAACTAAACACTAATATCGAAGAAATTGTGGAATAGAATCATTAAAGAAAGGATGCAAAAGGAGGGACAAAATGAATTGTGAATGACAAAAATTAAAATAATTTCTTAATTATTTTAAATAATTAAATTGAATGGTTGAATTTTTCTGCAGTGAGTTGTCCTGAGGGGAGTTGTCCTGTGGCCCATGGAGAGTTGGCCGCAGCAAGTTGGCCCATTTCATGATTTCTTTGAGTTCTTAAAACTTGCCTTAAATAAATCCAACCCCAATCCAATCCAATCCTCAAAGAGCCTTAAATGTTGAACCATCTTCTCTATTGGTGACAATGTTTCAGCATCACTTCTTTCTGCTGGCCTTGGAGACTCAAGAAGTGCAATTTTCAGCCTGAAAATGATTGCCATCCCTGATTGAGTTGCTGGGGGAAAAATTATCTCTGGTGGCTTATCAAAACCTTTTTACTTGTTTATCTTGGAGACGAAAGTTCTATTAGTCTTAATTTAGAAGAATGCAACATAGAGTATTTCAGTCCTATTGAAGGTAGTGGTGATTAGGATAAATGCATTTAATAAATCAGAAATGGTTTATTTCTGCAAATGGTAGACATTAATAAAAAAAAATACATTCACTACTGTGTACTTTAGTATTTGTGAATCTTTCCGGGGAGAAAGCATAGTCTAATAAATGATAGTTAGAAAGTGTATTTGTGATCAATAATATATGACTTAAGGCAGGGGTCCCCCAATCCTCATTGGGAAATTGGACTGCATAAGTGAGCGAACCCCCTCCATGCATGTGCGAGATCAGGCAGCACACAAAACCATGCTCCCCCCGGTCCACAGAAAAACTGCTCTCCACAGAACTGGTCCCTGGTTCCCAAAAGACTGGTTTAAGGGGTCTTTGGTGCTCTCTGAGCTTGGTTGTTTTCTTACAGATGTTTCATTACCCAAACTAGTTAACATTATCAGTTAACTAGTAGGGAGTCGGATTTGCTCTCAGTTTATATTCTAATGGATTGCCCTGTTAGTGTTGATGAGGGCAGTCTTGGTGGTTGTTTGGTTGATCTGTTAGCTTGTTTGGCAGTTCTTTGATTGGGGTATTGTTTACTTCTTGATTGTTGATCTGATGTTAATCTTGGTGTTAATCTATGTTCATCTGGGTGTTGATTGCTGGTGGAGAAGTATTTTGGTTTTTTGTTCCCTTTTTGACTTATTGATTGTCTCTTGTATGGTATGTAGATATTTTTTATATCTATGTGCCTATTGTTGACTGATTTGCCAGAGTGTCAGTCTCCCAGGAATTCTCTAGTATTTTTGGACTTGGATTGGCCTAGGATAGTCAGTTTCCCAGTTGAAATTATGTTTAAGTATAAAATTAATCAGTTTTCATCATATTTTTGAAACTGCTAATTGATATTAATGGAAGTATTCAGCTAGTTTTCTGACTATTTGTCTTACGTGTATGTTGTAGATGACTCCTGTTTTTTCTTCTGGGTCTTTTGGTTTAACTATGATGTTTTGGAAGGATTTACTTGGTTTTAGTTGATGCCATGTCGTCGTAATAGTCTTCGGTGGTTTCTGAGATACTTTTGATATATGGCAGTGTATTATCCTTTTTACAGCTTGTGCTAGTTATGCTATATATGTATATGTATGCACTACGTTTCTCATTTTTGGCATGTGTATTTTGGATTGAATTTAGGGGAAACAGTTCTTACAATGACAAACAGAAGTTCAGCCTCAGTTAGCTCTTTTTGTAATTAATAAGCACAGTAATAGAATGCCTTTTTCTGAAAGCCTAGTTCCTATCTAGGAGGGATTAAGATTATTATTAGCAATTTTAAAAAGCCTATGCCTTCAGATGGTCTGCTTACTATTATGGATATAGAAACAAAGATTGAAACAATCTATTTGTTTACAGGACAGCTGTGCAAGAGTATTGTTGTTACGAGGTGCAAACAAGGAATTAAAGAATTATAATAATCAGTCACCATTTCAGGTAAGAATAACTAAAGAAAACAATATTCTTTGGTGTGTATTGTAGTTTAAATGGTAGATGAATATCCTTTATATTTAGTGCATTGTGTAAAAAGTATTAATGTGAAATGAAATTGCTGTATAGAGCGGTTTGGTGGCCTAGAAGTGGAGCTCTTGCCTCACAGTCAGGAGGCTGTGAGTTAAGAGCCTTCTCTAGCTGCAGATATTTCTCTCTCTCTGGGCAAAACGAGTAATTGTCTGCTGCGAACTCCATGTAGGGGTCAGGAAGGGCATCTGGCCAATAAATGCTCAGCTCCAATTAGTCACTGTGACTCTACCCTGATGCAAGGGATTGCAGGGTTGTTAAAAAAAAAAGTACTGTACACTAATTTTCGTACATGTCTGTATTACTCTTTGTGAAGATCAGAATTGTTTAGAGGATGTATTTTTTATACTTACAGTAATTTTGTGATAGATGGAAGGCTAAAATACATGAAATGCTGGTTTAGTAGAATTTTGAAGTGTCCCATTTTGTTAGATTTTGTAAATATATGCCTACATAATAAACTGTCTGTGCAACATATCAAGAATTTAATATTTCCACTTGATGTGCAAGGTTAGAATGTAGAATGAATAAAATATTTGTTTTTTTAATGTACTAGTTTTGTCATCTTTCATAGGAAAGTATACTAACAGAGATCAACTTCTGTTTCAAATTAAGTGAACAAAAGTAATTAGAAATATGGTCACAATTGTTTTCCTCCTTCCTGATTTTTTTCAGTTCAAGTAGTACAAAAATGGAAGGCAAATTGCATTATGTAATTAACATAGCCGTATAAAAACGTATTTAGCTGATTCTAGTTCATTGAATAAGCTTTTGTGCATGGTAGACATGTTCCAAAATGTTCACCAATTTGTAATCTGAAGTAGCATCATCCAGAATTCTATCACCTTGACTCACTTACTACTTCACTTATGATAGTATATAAAATTATTTTGAGACACTAGTGATTTCTCAAGGATAATCAATAAGCTCCAGATAGGAAAAAGTGATTTAAATTTGAATTTTCCATAAAGAAAATCATACTAGTATCTGTGTATCTTTATACTATATGAGAAAGAAGGACTCACTGGAGAAGAGCCTAATGCTGGGAAAGATTGAGGGCAAAAGGAGAAGGGCACGACAGAGAATGAGGTGACTGGATGGAGTCACTGAAGCAGTCGACGTGAGCTTAAGTGGTCTCTGGGGAATGGTAGAGGACAAGAAGGCCTGGAGGAATGTTGTCCATGGGGTTGCGATGGGTCAGACATGACTTCGTGACTAACAACAACAACTACAACTACGCCTATTGTGGAATATTGGTTACAGTACTCCCACCATGCGAGTGATTCTCTAGATTAAACCTCTGAGTTACATAAAATAGTGTAAGTATGCTTGGGGTAAAACTAGGCTTTAGTTAGCTTATGGCACAAGATCTTGATATTTACAAGACCATTTTTTCCAAATAATTTCTGCTCATTCAGAACAGAATGCCTATTGCAAGAAGGCTTTGTGAGGTATGTCCTCTTCTGTACTCCTAGATCAGGGGTCCCCAAACTTGGCAGAATGAGCTGACTGGAGAATTCTGGGAATTGAAGTCCACAAGTCTTAAAGCTGCCAAGTTTGAAGAGCTCTGTCCTAGATGAAGGCAAGTTTATTCTCATGGCTTTTGAAGCCTGTTAAAATGTAGCTTTTCTTGATGGTTTTTGGAAATTAAATAGTACTGGAGTCATTGGCACCAGACAGATAAATATAGTATGGATTATATTTTATTTTTAGTGTACGTCATTAATTTATTGCATTATTAAACTTTGTATATTTACAAATGAAATATTCTCAAACTACTCAGTTTATCCTTTCCTAAATTCTTTTTATTCTTCCTTCAAAACATCTTTTTCTGTTGTACAAGAGTGTTAACAGGAATCTAACTTTTTTATTTGCCACAGTGCTAATTAAATGGCTAGGTCAGTACTCTAAAGGCAGTAGTCTATCACCTTTTAAAAAGACTGAGACAATGATGCTGCTGTACAACATTCATCAGGGATAAGTCCAGAATGACTAATATGAATAAAATAATGTTACAGTACAGATGCTCACCATGTTAGCTTATTTTTCAACATTTCACCACATAGCAGATCTTTACCTGCTGTTCTTATGGAGGCAAATATTTAACAATATTCTTTTTCTGATTCTGTTATCCTTTTGGGTACATTTCTTAGGTCATTGCTATGTTGTTTTTTAACTCGTGCTCTTATTTTGTGCACCACTTAAACCCTTTCAAGTTTGTAGCTGTACATATATGCTATAAATAATAAATACTAACCAAAAATGCAAAAATGACTTTTATTTTATTAAACCATTAGCATTGAAGGCTGAAACTGGCATGAATAAAAATAGACCAAGCAACTCATATGATTGCTTCTCTACCTTATCAGAAGTAGATAGGAAAGTAGGAAAATAGAAGTAAGAATCTATAGGCTGGTGATAGCTGCATGTTACCTTCCAGTGAATGGTAGTACAATAATGGAATGGGATCAGGTTTTGAAGAAAAACTGAACATCCTGACTGAATGTGATCCAGATGGAAAAATTACTTTTTTAGGTAACATAAATGAATAGATGGCAGTGATACAAAAGTAAAGAAAAAAAGACTTCATCATATGAAAGTTCAAGAATGTTTTAGAGACAGTTTTGTATGATGAGTGTTTGCTTATTTTGACACATTGTTTAAGCCCATGTCTATCTGTGTAGGCATGGCAAAAGAAAAAAGAAAAGAAAAGAAAGGAAATGAAATATGATTGATTGTATATGATGAAACAATAAGGCAATTGACAAGATGTACTAAATGCGAGATGGATCATCCTTTGATGGTCCCAGAGTGGATCTTGATACTATCAATGGACCTGGAAGAAAAGGAGGAAAGGAGGAAACATATAAGGATGGAAAGAGAAAATGTTATGGAAACAGCAATAGCACTTAGACTTATATACCACTTCACAGTGCTCTACAGCCCTCTCTTAAGTGGTTTACAGAGTCAGCATATTGCCCCCAACAATATGTGTCTTCATTTTACCCACCTCGGACGGATGAACTCAAGAACTCAAGAACTCAAAGAAATGTATGAGAAGAAAGGTGAATTTCCTAAAAGAATGAATAGAGAGTAAAGAAAGAGGATGTGGGATTTGTTTGACACAGAGTGAATTATATTACAAAAATAAATATGGGGAGATATGCAAATAGTACATATAAAAACAATGCTTGGTGAAATGAAGTAAAAGAGACTATAGATGAGAAAAAATAATCAAAAGGGTGAAAGAAAGGTATTTTATAATTAGAATAGAAATAAAAGACTGATTCAAAGTGCCAGGAATCATTAAATTTAAAAGAGTAGGGAAGAGGCAAGTCAATTTTAATGGAAACTGAAACTGTTTTAGAAGTGGGCAAAAAGGGTTAAATGAAGACTTTTTAGTAGAATGAGTGGAATTAAGAATAAAAGTAAACAAATAATTTGGGACAAAACTCAGAGGATACTTTAATGAACATTTCAGAGATATGTAGAACTGATAGTGATATGTCAAAGAATAGAACTGAAATGAATAGTATAAATGTTAATAACCCATAAAAAATGAATGGAAAGGAAATGGCAAGGATGACTTCTGATCATGTTGGAGACATTCTAAGCTGCAGTTTGTTCTTCTCTCTGTATGTAAACTGTTGAAAATTAAATCTAGATTGCTTGCTAAAAGTATTTGATTAGCAATGATATTAATTAAGCAATTTTCTCCTATGTTTGGAAGTTTACTGATAATATATCTCATAAACATAAGAAATAAGCTTCTTTGTTCCCTTCCTATTTTGTCCTCCTGTCTCAAACAAGGATAAACAAAATCTTACCAGGTGCTAAATCACTTATTTCTATGCTTGAGAGTTTGATTTCATCAAAAGAGGCAATTGTTTTTACTGATAATTTAAAAAATCAGGTTGAATATGGATAGTGTGCAATTTTAACTCTTTAGGTGCTATCCAGAGTTGAATGAAAACAAATAACTCATTTTCTTTCTTTCTTTCTTTTTCTTTTCTTTTATTAGATTTATATACCACCCTACTCCCAAAGGACTCAGGGCGGTGAACAGGCACAAAATAAAATACATAAATACAAAAGTTAAAAGATATAATTAATTTTGAACTGATTTTCCTAATACATAGCCCTAAATAGAAGATTCAGGGTTTATGTGAGAAAAAATTGCATTAGGGAAACAATCAAATACATCAGTTGTTTTCTCCTATATTTAATTTGGTTTTAGAAACACTAGCTTAATTAGACAATATACATGAGGTATATCAGAAGCATATAAATTACTATATGTAGATAATATTGGGGTCTTCTCAATAATTACCAAAATTATATAATTTGTACATATCAGCACAGCAATATTTTTGGATATAAAGTAACATTGTGCCAATAGCTTATACATTTTTTATAGAATTATGTAAAAAATGGGGCTTGATTTGTTAGATTCTCTTAAATAAAAATTATTATTCCTAACAATATATCTTTACTTGGTAATCCTGAATGACACATATGTGATAGAAGAGATTGATTTTTATATTAATAGGTGCATAAATTACCCATGAATCTATCAAGAAGAAAAAAGTGAAAATAAATGCACTTCACAATTTGTATATATTTAATTAATTAATACATTTATTAATTCTACTTAGGTATTTTAGATTTTTAAAATCTATGGAATGTTAGAACTCAAGGTTGTTGTCTGAAACCTGTGGTTCCTATGTGAATACAGGTTTGTCCAGGTTGTTTATTGGGGGGCACGGTGGCTCAGCAGTTAAAGATGCTGAGTTTGTCAGCTGGAAATCCAAGCGTTGCACAAGGGGGTAAGCTCCCATTCCTTGCCTCAGCTCCTGCCTACCTAACAGTTCAAAAGCATGCAAAAGTGAGTAGATAAACAGGTACCATTTTGGTGG